CACCCACACCCACACCCTCTTTTATCAGACATATTCTATTGTTTGTCTTTTTATTTTAGAGAAGTGAACATGAAAAACAGATTAATCAATTAAATGAAGAAAACAAAATCATTTAATATCTCAAATAAATAATCTCCAACAATTTAAAGAAGAACAATTAGCAAAACAAGTCGAGGTGAGAAAAAAAAAGGTGATAAGTTTTGAAATTATTTTGTTTTATTTATTTATTTATTTATTAGGAAGAAGAAAACCGTTTAAAAGAAGTTCATGTACGAGAAATGCTTGAAAGACAATTAATTGAACTTAAGGAAGATTTACAAGCAATAGAAAATGAGAAAAATAAACTTAATAATCAAATTGATGAACTTAAAGAACAATTACAATCAAAAGATAAACAAATTCAAATAGCTGAAGTTAGTACATGATCATCTTTTATTCTCTCAAAAAAAAACTGAAATCTATAAGATTACACATGTTCTATCTTAAGAGCTGATCTTTTCAAAACTGTTCAATACTTTGAAAGAATAATTTTCATATCAAACCATGGATTCTTTGAAAAAGTTCATCTGAACTTTATTTTCCTTTCTAGAAGTGCATATTGACATCTTGAATTATAAAACTGTACACAGAAACATCATAAAGTATATAAAAATACAGATATACCGAGTTTAACTTAGGAATGTACAGTTTCAGTTTATTGATCATTGACTCACTCTGGGTATTGCACATGAATACAACTAGTAAGCTCAACAATGGAGTTTTATATTCTTTTTAAACGAAATAAATACATCAGAGATAAGTTGATTGCATTTTTTTTACTGAGAGATGTAGAATTAAAATTTTTCCAAAGTATAACATACACAAATCTCAGCATCAATTTTTTTACATTATAAGATGTCCCAAAAGTCCATCCGAAAAGTTTACATGATTAGCTCTTAAATAGTTCAAGCGATTTATACATATTTTTTTAAAATAAAGTTATAGTATATTCTTTGGAGTTTTATTTCATATAATTTGATTTACAACAAATTTTCGAAACGTAAAAAATTCGACAGAAAATTTCTTTTCGAATTCATTTATTTCTGTTATCGGTTATTATTTTGAATCCAATCAAATCTTTATATATGTCTTATACAAATAGGTTTTCACTTTATATTTAACAATAAAGAATTTAAATGAAAAGAGACTTCATCAAAAAAAAAAAAAGAATAAAGTCTCCTTATTGTTGATATTTTCTAACATTGGTACCAAAGTGATACGATTTCAACTCGATCTTGTGAATGTTTTTCATAACGTTGTCGGACAAAATGTACCTTATATGGCTTCATTGAAAGATATTCCGTCATAATTTAGCCTGATATTGTTCGTGGAATAAAGCAGAATGTTGCAACAACCCGAACACTCCATGGTAACAAACCTCATGCAGTTCATCGATTTTCTTTTCTGTAATTTTTCAAAGTCTTTCAAAATTTTTTTCCATTTAATACTATACTGGTTTTGCAAAAGCGTCGAAAACCATATTTCGTATAGTCTATGTCTAACTTTTGTGAACCACTTCGTAAAATGATAGCTCACCTACATTTTAGAAACTCTAGGACTTCTATTATAATCAGACAATTTTAGTTGTTCGAACAAAGTTTCATAGATACTGTTAATATTTCTCCAGACATCAATATTCATGATTAAAAATAATCTCTAGAAATAATTTTCATATTTGATATAGTTCGTTCTTTGTCTTTAACGAGAATAAAAAAAAACAAAAGGATATTTAACACATCTATATGTACATGTGATATTTTATCCTTCTCTTCTTTTTCTAACTATTAACCATCTGACTAGTCCATTAGTTATTTTATCATTTGAACTAAGTCGTCGTCTAACTTAAGATCATTTTAGTATAACATCAACCTATCCACACACATACATTTACAATTATTCGATTTAACGATTGGTAACATTCGAAAAAAAAATATGACTGATCAACGTACCACAACATCTTCAGATGAAAATAAAGCTAAACAAAAACAAGAAGAAACGCATATGTCATTGTTTACTCTTTGTAAACGAATAAAAGAAGCTAAATTAGGTGTAAGATAAGCATTTATAAAAATTTATTTATATATAAAAATAATTATTTAGGGTCAACAATTATTTTCTAGTTTACTTGAAGAAACAAAGAACCAACTGCGGACAGCTGAACAAGAAATTTGTGTAGCTGGACACAAAACATCAGATGAAAAAATGGAAAAATTAGAATACGATTTATCAAGAGCTATCTTTTATGTTGAAACTGTTCGTTTTAATATGGATCAAACATTACAAGAAAGAGAAGCACAAACAACAAATAATGATCATGAATATGATGAAGAAAATGAGACGGTAAATAATAATTTGAAAATTATAAGAATATTCGAGATTTATATTTGACATAAATAAAGGGTGTGGGTGT